ACTCAGACCTCCTCAGTTACTATATAAGCAGCTGCTGGATGTCTGTGAAATGTGTGTTTGATTCCTTGAAGAGGAGATGGTATCTCGATGTAGTCATGCTTCTTGATCTGTTTGATGCTATTAACTAGAAATGCTGCCATCTTTTGTGATAGTTTGTGTTTTATCTCCTACACACCTTTGTTTATGTAAACCACAAAAGAGTTGCTGAAGAAATTATTCCCTTTTTTCTCTGTTATCTTAATGTGAGACGAAATTTCGGGGGAGAAAAAGGCTAGGAAGGAGGGGACAGATTAATGTCTGCGGTGCATGTTTACTTCCCCATGGATGTGGGCTGGTTTGTGGTCTCCCCTTTTTCCCCTCTTTCCTCATCTTCTCAAGGAGCACTGCCTTGTAAATTACATGGACACTGATTCCTGTGATACAAAAGTAAGGATCTTGCCCTTCTGCCCCCATTACTGCTGTTCAGGCTTTACAAGGGATAAATATTAGGCAGTGTTGCACCTGTGGGTAGATGGTGGGCTTCATTTTTGTCCTGTGAGTGTATGTTGGGTAGAAGGGATCCTCTCACCTGAGCAGCTTCTCTTGTGGAAGGGGGATTGATCCCTTCAGGAAGGGGAGACCTCAGGGTGAGCCCGGAGAGAGCCATTAACTCCCAAGAGGGGAATATCTTGAGTTTGTGGGTGGTTCTCACCCCAGCACGTTGCATGTAGGCTGGCTTGCCCTGCGCTGCTTGGAGAGCGGGGCTTGTTTTTTAAGTGTGTCAGGATGCTGCCGCTGCAGCATCCCTCTGTGGTGGTTCTGCTGGAAGGGGTGAATTGTGCTGCTGCAGTCAGTGTGTGGGACTTGGAGCTGACACAGCACGTTTTCCAGGCTCGGCAAAGCCTGTCACTCCTTTGATAATTCAAGTATAGTTATGAAGTGTCATCTGGGGCTCTTGACTTCCGTTCATTCCTTTTTCAGTGAGTTCTTAGAAAGTCAGTTTTCTGAGCATGACTGTTTCATTTTAGTCCATGTCACATCTTTAGACAATTGGGACTAGTGCTTCTGGTGGAGAAGTCAGCACTGCCACTCACCTCGCAAAACCCGAGTCTCTTATTTTACTTCAGAGGTGTTCGTTTGATTAGACAAACCCTTGTCCCTTAGGCAGAGCTGGAGAAGAGGGCCTTTGTCTGGCAAGAACAGGCAGATGATGTGGAGAACTGAGCCTGCGGCGCAGCTGGATTGCAGCCAGATACTACCTTCGAAGCTATCCTGAACCCACCGTGCACCCGGATATAAGGGCTCTCCTCTGTTTGCTTACTGCAGGGTGATTGATGTCTGTAGGTGTTCTGTGTTCCCCAAAAGCACCTGGGATATAGGCGAGAGCAAATGTCCGCCCAGATTGGTGGTTAGAACTTTGAGGCTGTAACTTACTTTCTCTCCTTAAACAGGAGCACTGCTAGTTTGTTTGTCTTCTCAAGGCTCAGGGGGAAGGGGAGGCGGAAGATAAGGTTACAACTGTCTTATATCCCTGACTTTTTAGAGGTTAAAATCCCAGCTGGACACATCTCTGCTATGTAGAGAGAATAGTTTAATAATTCAAGCAGAGTCCTTGTACCAACACATGTCTGCAATTAATGCTGTAACTACCAGTGAGGTGTGAGGATAGCAGGAAGCTGGCAATGGGGCTATCTAGAGAGGTACTAAAAACGAGGAAAAAAAAAGAAAAAAAAGGCATGTTTTCAATGCACATGCTCTTTTCTCCTTTTTTTTAAAGGTGAGGTATCTGGATGAAAGATGCCAAGCTGAAAGCCACAGACAAAGAATTTCTTTTGCAAGCAAATATGTATACAGGCTGTAAGGGTAAAAGTCTCAATTTCCTTCCTGAAGTGCCATTTCCTGTTCCCCAGAGCAGGGGTTTGGTTGCTACCATATCAGAACTGAGGGTTACTTTGTGGCTTTCCAGCCCTGGAAGTGGCTGATGGCTGCGAAGTTGCAAGTGGAAGCCCAGAGGAGAGAATGGAGGAGAGGGGAAGGAGGGTTGGCAGTGGGAACTTGCTTTGAAAAGACAGAGGGAACAGCTTAGGTGTAGGTGGAAGTTTTGAAGAGCTGGGGGCCTAACTGCTCCTGGGTGTTTTCTGCTGTAGCTGATGCTCAGATGCCTTTTCTGTTTAATTCTCTGGGAAAATGGATGTGCTTTTAATAGACAATTGTTTTATTAAAAAAAAAAAAATCAAAGTGAGCTAGCTTTAAGCATTCAGTGTAGTAGGAATGCGTATGACATATGATAGATTCCTGTAAATCAAGGATGGTGTCTTTTTGTAATCACTGAGTGAGAAGTCCGAATTCTTAAACTTGTCTGTGCACAGAGTTCAGTAGCTGTGTTGTCTGACCTGAGGCAATTTTTGAGGCTTCTGTATGGACTGGTATTCTGAGTTGCATCACAGACCATTAAAAATAAGATTAAAATTTATAATGAAACTAGAGAATCGCTTAAAGAACCTGATTGACCTTTTATGTGATATCAGACAATTCTGTTGTAAATGCAGATTGTTTTCTTCCTCACAGTTTGCTGCTATGCAGCTGCATGTGAAAAGGAGAAAGTGCACAATGCTGATGAACATGTTGAACATCCTTCCCCACCCTAAGGTCCTCTTTCTCTCTGGCTTTGGGAAGTTGAATGTGTGTTTCCTTCTTTGCTTTTCTTGAAGTGGTTTTAGGAAGATTCCTTATTCAGAAAGGGAAAAATAATAAAAATAATCTAATGCAGCTACCTTTAATCATATGGAAGAAGTAAAATGACATTTGATATTAATTTCTTCCATATCAAAGCCGTAACAGAAGGCTAATAGAAATCTTTATTTTCAGTTTGCCAGAAATAGCCTGTTCAGCCTGTGGTCATTTCGTCTTTCAGTTGAGTCTTTTAAATTAGAACATCTAAATAGTGTCAGATTAAGTCAGCACTTAGGTATGATATTTTCAAGCCTCAGATTGGATGACACTGGTGACACTAGCTGTGTGTAGAAACCAGGGTATAAACTCTATTTGCAGCCCTATTTCAGTATCTGCTAGTTGTCAGTCATAATAATGCATGCAAGAGCTAGGAAGAGGAAAACACACAAACAAATAAAATTGTCTCTCACCATTAGCCCAAATAAAGTGTGTAGACAGTGGGGAAAAAATTGTCCTTAAGAAAAGGATTGCTTTTTTATAGGCTTGTCCTCCAACTTTTGTCATAACTGGGGAGCATCCCTTGTTTGCACTTTAATGACTGCCTACCCTGTTTTACTCAGTGTCTTTATTGGTGCCCCAGGGTGTTCAGCTATTCTTGAACATCCTTTTTCTTCTTTGCATAGTGGGGAATTGTAGTTTATACATTTATCCTTGCAGATGTTGGGAGGCAGCCCTGGATGTCACGGGCTAGTGAGTTGCTCAGTATCAAAATTAAAAAACAAGTCTTTTTAAGGTGGTCATGACCCTCTTGCTGAGTCATCTGAGAGCTTGTTTAGTACTGTTACCATTTACAGTAAGTAAATATGAAGCTACAAATCTGTTTTGCCATTTGTAAAGGCTTTCCTTCAGCTAGCTTGCTGTTCCAGCATAGCAACTGTGGTCCTCTGTTTATTGCCTTATGTTTAGTAAATATTTTCTTTTCCTCAGTGTCAGTCAGAATTGACTGAAGCCTTATTGATTGTGAAAGAAGGCACAGTTAGCATTCTAGAGCATCTTGAAAGAGGTGCTCAAACTTCCAGGGGACTCTGGAAGCCAGCAGTCCTCAGTGTTTTCCAGCATCAGGCTTCAAGGCCACAGGTGCTGTTGGAGCTGTGAAATGTGTGTGCATGGGGCTGTAAACACACCGCTTGTCTCATGGGTTTGTACAATATTGACTTGTTTAATTCTTAATTTAGCCTTCAGGAAGCTGAATCTGGAATTTCAGTGTTTGTTTCTGCAGGAGAGAGCCAAGATCAATGCTGCTTGCAAAAACAGAGCAAATCAAACAACATAGACTTTCATAGGATCATCCACCAGTTAACAAAGACTCCTGTATAGGATTGTAGAGAATGCCTGGTTCAGAAAAGCTGTTACAATTCATTGTACAAATATTTTTGTACAAAAATAGGATTCTTTGTGTGACTGTGATGAACAGGAATGGTTTGTTGCAGTGCAGTTTCTTGGTCTGTCAAGGGTGTAATCTTCTGACCTTGGAAACAGAACCAAGAAGAGTTTTGGCTACTGATGGGAACTGTGCTGAAGTCTCAAGGAAATATATGGCAAGAGTTTGTTTGTGGTTATTTTGAATAAGAAAAAGTGGTAATTAGTACTGGCTGTCAGGAGCTTTAGCTCTGGGGCCTAGAAGATGGATATGGGCTCTAGTTCTAGGTGGAATGTGACACCTAAAATAGATACATAAATCAACCAAGAAACCTGTTTTATGGCAAATGTGTTAATTGCTTCGCTAGGGATGTGCATGGACCCGTTTTCCTAGAGCGCACTATATGTTCTGCACAGCTAAAATAGTCATATGTGGTGTCAGAGTCTGTCTGACTATATCTCTTTTTTCTTCTCTGCTTCAGTGAACATTAACCCAATATGTTCTATTCTGTACATAAAGCGTTCTGGTGATAAATCCTGCAGGATCATTTACTACTGACTGTGTTAAATATGCTTTCCAGGACATGGTTTTGGTAGCATGCTGTAGTCAGTGCCTTTGGTGGGGTGAAGAGGCTGCTTCAGGACATGATTACCATGCTTCTATTTAATGTTTTCGTTACAAGTTAATCACAGGCTCTTCTGTTGTAATGTATGCTTCTGAGAGGACTTTTTGTTCTAGTTGTAGCTCTTCAGCTTGAAGTAGTGATTGGAGGAGGAGGAGGTCGTTAGGCAGGGCTGGTAGATCCTGCCGCTGACTGGCACGGATGCCTGTCGCAGATACTAGAATTGCTCTGATCAGTGCTCTCCTGTTGTTGGCATGACAGACAAGCAAGGAGATGAACTCCCCCTCCTCTTTCTTATCTCCACAGCACTTCACAGAGTTCCTGGATGAGTTTTCACCTGATGTCCTAGGCCAGCTCTTGAATGATCCCTTTTTGTCTGAGAAGAATGAAATAATGGAGGTGGAACTGTCTCCGGCGTCCCCAGCACCCCTCATCCAGGCAGAGCACAGCTACTCCCTCTGCGGGGACTCTCGACCCCAATCTCCCTTGACCCACATCTCGACTGATGACAACTTTAATGAAGGTAGTACACACTGAACCGTTGTTTGTCATCATGGTGCAGCAATTAAGTGTTCCTGATGAGGTCATGATGCGCTCAAGGTGCATGCTAATGCTCTATGCCAATTGATATACCTAAATGAAATCACAGAAGGGCTTTTTTTTTGTTTGAAGTCGGTAGGCATTGTGAAGAAAGAAATTTGTCCATAGATAGGGAAATTGTGCTTCGCAGAAGTTCCTAACTGCACTATAAACATCTTGTATTAGAAGTACCTATCAAAAAGAAATGGGAGAAAGGCCAGAAACGCGCTTGCTTTCATGTATCTGAATCTGTGGTTGTTGAAGAAAAATGGAGACTGATAAACCAAATGAGTCAAATGAGAATCACCGTGAAGTCTGGGTACTGAAGAACATGATATGTAAGCAAAAGGGTAAGGTGGGTTTTGTTTGGTCTTCTGAGAAAAAGCAAAGTGGTGATCTTACCGCTGTCTATGACTATCTGATGAAAGGTTGCAGAGAAGACAGAGCTGGACTCTTCTGAGATACGTGATGATAGTACAAGAGCTTGCAAGTTGCAAGAAAGGAAGTTCCAGTTGGGTGTTAGGAGGATCATTTTCACCATGAGAGTAAGTCAGACATTCAAACAGGTGTCCAAGGAAGCTATGAAGTCTTTATCTGTGGGGATATTCAGAGCTGAGCTAGGCAAGGCCCTGAGCAACCTGATCCAAATTGGCCATGCTTTGAATGAGGAGTTGGGCAAGATGGTCTCCAGACGTCTCTTCAAAATTACATAATTTCTTGTTTATGAAAACCAAGCAAATAAACCTCTTAAATTACCCTTATTTTCAGTAGTGAGTGTCTGGAGTTTTCTGGTGTCCCAAAATGAAACTCGGGAAATCTTACATCGCTATACACGTATTTCGAAACAAGTAACTTCGGCTGTCTTGCTGAAGTCTTACAGTCTTTCTTTTCCTTTTCAGGAAAAAAAAAAAAAAGGCAAAAAAAGAACAAAAGCCCATCAAGAAGTTATTGGTGATCTTGTAAAGATGTAATTGCATTCTTACATAGATTCTGTGGTTGCAGGAAATGGTGATGCACATAAAACTAATAAAACCAAGAGCATTTTGTAGCAGTTATCGTTAATTCAGCAGTATAAACATCTGGAGAGACAAACAGGGAAATGCAGGAATGGTGGAAGACATCCAACCTGCTTCTTTTGGTGTGAAAATGCCTGCTGGCAGGAAGGGGAGTTCAAGGTGAAAGCTAGTGGTTGGTGGAGGAGCAAGGCCATAAATATAACTATTAGTAATAATCACCATGGCAGACTTTCACTCCTAATAACTAGTTTGTCTTCAACTTTAGCTTTACAGTAAAAAGCAGTAGAGTATTTAGCTCCATCAGAATAAAAGGGAGAGAGATTAGTGCTTAGTCTAAGCATTAACAAGCTAAGCTGTTTATGAAGATCCACCAGGACATGAGTTTTCAGAGGCTGGCAGTTTTGTACTCCAAAGCGCTCTCTTAAAACAAGATGTGCTCTGTTAGAGATTTCACGAGAGGACAACTAATAAAACCTGTAAGAAGCCTTTTCAGTGGTAACATCATCTATATAAAGCCTTCCTATTTTGTATTTCCTAACTGTTTTATGTTAATATCTTTAATACATACAGGAGATATTAATTGCAGCAGGAGAAATAAGCACAAGAAACTTCCAAAACGAAGCTTCTCTGAAAGTTAACGGGGAGAAGATTCAAACTAGGCTAAAAGTGAGGGGAGTTTCCTCTGGGGAAAAGTCCTGAAGAAATTCATACTGCTGAGACCACTGGGTAATTAATAGAGCTGTAGTCAAATGGTGCTTTAAAAAGCCAAGAAACATTAACAAGTGAGTTTAAAAATAGAAAATGAATGGAAAGCATTTCATGTTCTGTTCACTCTGCAGAGTGTTTCATAAGAGAGGAGGAGGAGGAGGAGTTTTTCTTGGTCTGTGGGATTTTATTTAATCTTAACCTTTCAATACCTATTGACTTCAAAACAGTGAAGCTCAGAGAAATACTTGAGGAAAATGCAGAATTACAGTTCACACATGGCTGGCTGATAGGTGTTCAAAGTCATCACCCTGACAGTTTTCAGTCCTTAAGTCCGTGAAAGCAAGAGTGGGGGACTTTGTGGGTGGCAGTACTGCATGGTTTCACACTGGAGACTGAAAGCATCTCTGCTGTTAGGTGGTGGAGGTACTCAGTGCTCCTGACAGCTCTGGTGAATGCCAGTCCCGAGGGTGGAGTAAGGGGACAGAGATTTGGAGCACCAGTGTTTTCTTGGGGAGCAGGAGGTACAGGGTGTGGAGGGGCAGTTTGGTATGCTCCAGCATGATCTCTTACTGCTGGGAAGCTGGGAGTGGTCTTATGGAGTGGTAGGGGCTGAAAAATGGGTTTGGCTGAGGGACATACGAAAAATATACAAAATATTACATTCTCCATATAAGCACCCCACTGCAGATTGGTGAGCTCTTACAGCTGTTGTGTTTCCATGTTTTTTCCGTGACTAGGCTTCATGATTCTGCAGGACCAGGTTTAGAAGCAGGCTAGTGAGGATGTTCATGCATGACACGTGCATGTTTGCACATGTGTTATGGACACACGTGCTGTGGACCTGCGTGCCTGCAGTCAGCAGCAGTGCAGCAGTGAGAGGATGATGGCACAGAGCAGTTAAACTGGGTCTGGATGCCATTTCAGAGCTTGGCCCTTAGCTCTAGAGGACCAAGGTGCTGGTATCGTGCACAAAGCATGTGACAAACAGGCTTTCTTCTTGCTTTACAGTGAAGTCAGTAATGTGTTTTTTCTTTGTAACTCTCAGCAGTGCTCTTGGCTATGAGAGGCTGGTGGGTTATTTCTCAGGGAGTGCAGAAATGCCATCCTCTCCTAGGCCAGTGGGCATTCATGGGCACACAAAGACAGGGGAAGAGCGAGGAGGGGAAAGACCAGGATTTTCTAGGTCCAGGCCCCTTATCCCATATGGCCAAATAACCCACGCTTGGAAGCGGTGCCTGTTACACACCTTATTGTCAGTGTCACACCAGCAGTTACTCTGTTAGCGTGACCTGGAGCTGCTAACTCCTTTCAGCAAAGGCAGCTTTTCAGGTGCCACATGCTAGTGTATGTTGAGATGCCAGCTGGCTCCCCATACCACTTCTAACTCAGTGCATGTTAATTGTGTGATGCTGCTCAGCTGCTCAGCCCTCGGGTGCCATTTCTGTGCCAGGAGTGGGTTGGTGGCTACCAAGCTGTGTGCTGGTCTGGCCTGCCAGTGAGTGGTGCACTGCCAAATAACCATGGGGGACAGGAGTGTCTTCTACCACACAGGTCTGGTGTCCTAACGGCAAACCTATCTGCCTGCCTTTAAAAACAGCCTTAAAAACTGAAGTTTGTTTCCATGGCAGCAAGTCTGTTGGAGATGTCCAGGAGGCAGGAATGACAGCAGGGTGTGTGTGGCCTATCCAGGGGCAGGGTCCTGCCATCTGCTGCCAGGCCAGTCCCATGTTTTGTTGCTCCACCAACCTGCCTTTATGTCCTCCTCCTTCAGTCCATGCCAGCCTGTTGGAGAAGGGAATTGAATTTTCGGAGTTGTCTCCATCTGGTTCAGTGGCACCCAACATCTGCAGCAGTTTTCATCTGCGTATTCACAAGTGTGGGGTTCCAGAGCCCAGGAGTATGGGGAAGCTGAGAAAAAAGCCTGTCTTGCTAGACACATGATATTCAAGGCACGTTTAAGCCATTCAGTGTCTATTTCTGTCTTTGGTCTCCAGCAACCTTACTGAAAACGTTATTTAATGTTTCCTTTCAGCCGTTGCGGTGGAATGAACAGTCACTCTGTCTCCATCAGCACCTTATTGTCCACTGTTGCAGGGGAACAATTAACTTCTGCCGTGAGCTGTTCTTGTTGGCCACTACCTGGCTATTACCACAATTTCTACAATTGCTAAATTGATCTATTCGTGTAATTGTAGATCTTAATTATAGAAATAAAGTGTTTTTTTTTAAAGAAGTGCTAGAAGTGTAAAACCTGTCAAACTCATAATCCTGGGTTTAACTTTTCCAGTAAGTCCTGCTGACCTCAAGGTGAGAGCACATTTATGCGTCCGTAGGATGAAAGACCCAACACCAGTTTTCCCCAGTTATTCACTCTTCCAACTTCACTGTATCGAGGTTCTTTCCCAAGCATTGTGCAGAAGAACTTCCCTGAATACTTGCAGCTTGTTGCTAGTGTGGGGTCTCTGAGGGTGTCAGTTGCTAAATCTCTGGTTTATGAAAGCATTGGCAAGAGCAACTATTTTAAAGCACATGTGTTCAAGACATCTGGCATTTAGTTATTTGGTTTCCCACCACCCCCGAGAATCTATTCTTATATTCAATTTTGCATAAACTTTTAAGACTAATGATACTAGACAGAGATTTATAAGCCTGACCTTCTTGCTTATAGCAGGCTGTTTGGACTTTTGTTTGCCTGGTCTGGTGAATAAGGCATCTGACCTGAGGAGGGGCTCCAGGTTGTAACATAAAAAAGGAGCCTGTAGCCCATGTACTAATGATCCCCAACGGTTGTGCTGCTGCCTCTCTCACAGCAGGTTTCCTCTTTCTAGTTGTGACCCCTGGGGTTTTTGAGAAAATTGCAGAGTAGCTGTGGAGAAGCACACTGGGTATTTGTGAACTGGAAAATGCTCTTGGAAGGAAATGAAGAAGCTGGGTGGGGAGGCTGAGAATAGGGCTGATGGATAAGGGAGACCTCCTGCTGTGCTTCAGGGCCTTTTGGGACACAGATTCACTTCTGACAGTTGTAAACAGTTATGAGGAAAAGATTTATTTTCTATTACAGTTGGTGCATGTCTTTGCTCAGTTTTCCAGTCACTGCAGCCTTTTGGAAAGGGAGTGCTGTGGGTCAGAGAACCAGGAGCAAGGCAAAATCTGAGTTTCAGCCTCCTATCTGACTTGAGATGCAAGTTTGGGGTCCTTTCCTACCTTTCCATGCTTTATC